GAGAGGCAGTATCAGGTATAATGTATGGGAGAGGCAGTATCAGTTATAAAGTATGGGAGAGGCGGTATCAGGTATAATGTATGGGAGAGGCAGTATCAGGTATAATGTATGGGAGAGGTAGTATCAGGTATAATGTATGGGAGAGGCAGTATCAGGTATAATGTATGGGAGAGGCAGTATAATGTATGGGAGAGGCAGTATCAGGTATAATGTATGGGAGAGGCAGTATCAGGTATAATGTATGGCAGAGGCAGTATGAGGTATAATGTATGGGAGAGGCAGTACCAGTTATAATGTATGGGAGAGGCAGTATAATGTATGGGAGAGGCAGTATAATGTATGGGAGAGGCAGTATCAGTTATAATGTATGGGAGAGGCAGTATCAGGTATAATGTATGGGAGAGGCAGTATAATGTATGGGAGAGGCAGTATCAGGTATAATGTATGGGAGAGGCAGTATCAGGTATAATGTATGGGAGAGGCAGTATCAGGTATAATGTATGGGAGAGGCAGTATCAGGTATAATGTATGGGAGAGGCAGTATCAGGTATAATGTATGGGAGAGGCAGTATCAGGTATAATGTATGGGAGAGGCAGTATCAGGTATAATGTATGGGAGAGGCAGTATCAGGTATAATGTATGGGAGAGGCAGTATCAGTTATAATGTATGGGAGAGGCAGTATAATGTATGGGAGAGGCAGTATCAGGTATAATGTATGGGAGAGGCAGTATCAGTTATAATGTATGGGAGAGGCAGTATCAGGTATAATGTATGGGAGAGGCAGTATCAGTTATAATGTATGGCAGAGGCAGTATCAGGTATAATGTATGGGAGAGGCAGTATAATGTATGGGAGAGGCAGTATCAGGTATAATGTATGGGAGAGGCAGTATCAGGTATAATGTATGGGAGAGGCAGTATCAGGTATAATGTATGGGAGAGGCAGTATCAATTATAATGTATGGGAGAGGCAGTATCAGGTATAATGTATGGGAGAGGCAGTATAATGTATGGGAGAGGCAGTATCAGTTATAATGTATGGGAGAGGCAGTATCAGGTATAATGTATGGGAGAGGCAGTATAATGTATGGGAGAGGCAGTATCAGTTATAATGTATGGGAGAGGCAGTATCATGTATAATGTATGCTAGAGGCAGTATCAGGTATAATGTATGGGAGAGGCAGTATCAGTTATAATGTGTGGGAGAGGCAGTATCAGGTATAATGTATGGGAGAGGCAGTATCAGTTATAATGTATGGGAGAGGCAGTATCAGGTATAATGTATGGGAGAGGCAGTATCAGGTATAATGTATGGGAGAGGCAGTATCAGGTATAATGTATGGGAGAGGCAGTATCAGTTATAATGTATGGGAGAGGCAGTATCAGTTATAATGTATGGGAGAGGCAGTATCAGTTATAATGTATCTGAGAGGCAGTATAATGTATGGGAGAGGCAGTATCAGGTATAATGTATGGAAGAGGCAGTATCAGGTATAATGTATGGGAGAGGCAGTATAATGTATGGGAGAGGCAGTATCAGGTATAATGTATTGGAGAGGCAGTATCAGGTATAATGTATGGGAGAGGCAGTATCAGGTATGATGTATGGGAGAGGCAGTATCAGGTATAATGTATGGGAGAGGCAGTATCAGGTATAATGTATGGGAGAGGCAGTATAATGTATGGGAGAGGCAGTATAATGTATGGGAGAGGCAGTATCAGGTATAATGTATGGGAGAGGCAGTATCAGGTATAATGTATGGGAGAGGCAGTATCAGGTATAATGTATGGGAGAGGCAGTATAATGTATGGGAGAGGCAGTATCAGGTATAATGTATGGGAGAGGCAGTATCAGGTATAATGTATGGGAGAGGCAGTATCAGGTATAATGTATGGGAGAGGCAGTATCAGGTATAATGTATGGGATAGGCAGTATCAGGTATAATGTATGCGAGAGGCAGTATCAGGTATAATGTATGGGAGAGGCAGTATCAGGTATAATGTAATGGGAGAGGCAGTATCAGGTATAATGTATGGGAGAGGCAGTATCAGATATAATGTATGGGAGAGGCAGTATCAGGTATAATGTATGGGAGAGGCAGTATCAGGTATAATGTATGGGAGAGGCAATATCAGGTATAATGTATGGGAGAGGCAGTATCAGGTATAATGTATGGAGAGGCAGTATCAGGTATAATGTATGGGAGAGGCAGTATCAGGTATAATGTATGGAGAGGCAGTATCAGGTATAATGTATGGGAGAGGCAGTATCAGGTATAATGTATTGGAGAGGCAGTATCAGGTATAATGTATGGGAGAGGCAGTATCAGGTATAATGTATGGGAGAGGCAGTATCAGGTATAATGTATGGGAGAGGCAGTATCAGGTATAATGTATGGGAGAGGCAGTATCAGGTATAATATATGGGAAAGGCAGTATCAGGTATAATGTATGGGAGAGGCAGTATCAGGTATAATGTATGGGAGAGGCAGTATAATGTATGGGAGAGGCAGTATAATGTATGGGAGAGGCAATATAATGTATGGGAGAGGCAGTGTTGGATATAATTATGGATGAGAGAGTCTGAGTGGAGAGGAACGTACGAGGTTTTAGGAGTCTAAGGGATGTGTAGACTAAGTGTTTATATTGAGGCTTATAAGTGACTGGTGTGGGTGGCATCCTGGGCAGGGCGAAACGTCCTGGGCAGGGCGAGACGTCCTGGGCAGGGCGAGACGTACAGAAAGTCACTCTTGGGTGTAGGAGGCCATCAGAAGCCACCCAAGAGGAGAATAACTTCAATTCCTCGGATTAAGAGCCTTTCACTAGCAGATATGCACTTTGAAGAGTCAGTATGTGCTCTATTAGAGTCAGTATGTGCTCTATTAGAGTCAGTATGTGCTCTATTAAGATGACCAGACAGAAACGAACATCAGCTCTATGTACTTAGCCACAGACTGGAGATGCATCTGAATGTCGACCATCAGATAATAATAATAATAATAATAATAATAATAATAATAATAATAATAATAATAATAATAATAGACAAGAGAGAACTAGCTTTAATATAGGACACGTTTCAACCCTTGTAGAGCTTTATTATGTTTCACTGTGTAGAGCTTTATTGTTTCACTCTGTGTAGAGCTTTATGTTTCACTCTGTGTAGAGCTTTATGTTTCACTCTGTGTAGAGCTTTATGTCATGTTTCACTGTGTAGAGCTTTATGTTTCACTTTGTGTAAAGCTTTATCATGTCATGTTGCACTCTGTCTAGAGCTTTATCATATGTTGCACTCTGTGTAGAGCTTTATTATGTTGCACTCTGTGTAGAGCTTTATTATGTTGCACTCTGTGTAGAGCTTTATTATGTTGCACTCTGTGTAGAGCTTTATCATGTCATGTTGCACTCTGTCTAGAGCTTTATCATGTCATGTTGCACTCTGTGTAGAGCTTTATCGTTATGTTTCACTCCGGAGCTTTATCATGTCATGTTTCACTCCAGAGCTTTATCATGTCATGTTTCTCTCCAGAGCTTTATCATGTCATGTTTCTCTCCAGAGCTTTATCATGTCATGTTTCACTCCAGAGCTTTATCATGTCATGTTGCACTCTGTGTAGAGCTTTATCATGTCGTGTTTCACTCCAGAGCTTTATCATATGTTGCACTCTGTGTAGAGCTTTATCATGTCATGTTTCACTCCAGAGCTTTATCATGTCATGTTGCACTCTGTGTAGAGCTTTATCATGTCATGTTTCACTCCAGAGCTTTATCATGTCATGTTGCACTCTGTGTAGAGCTTTATCATGTCATGTTTCACTCCAGAGCTTTATCATGTCATGTTTCACTCCAGAGCTTTATCATGTCATGTTGCACCCTGATGTTGTTAATAAGTTATTAAGTGTAACAAGTGATGTCAGTAAGCAGGTTGTTAAGTCGTACTAAGGTGTAAGTGTTTAGACTGGTAAATCATGGTAGGAAGCAGCACTCCGAGGCAACATGCCAGAAATGTTAAAGTTTACCATCCAATGTAAACAAACAAAGCGCGTTTGTTGACCAGGGAAATATTCCCAGCGTTCACTGCTGAACCAACCACACACCTGATTTTCAATTATTTTACTCAAAACAGGTGAAAAATTTTGTTTTTTTTATTTTTTCTTAAAAGCCAGAATGCATATCTAACTTATCTTGCTATGTGGGAATAAGTGATCAAGGTTTTGGTCATATGACTGGGACATTTCTCTGGCTTCTCGGTCTGCACGCAGCGCTGTATGGCCCTTGTGGTTTAGCGCTTCTTTTTATTATAATAATCTCGGTCTGCAAGACACCAGAGTTAAAATATCTCAGATGCATTGTGTATGTGCTCATCTATATGTGGTTGCAGGGGTCGAGTCACAGCTCCTGGCCCCGTCTCTTCCTGAGGCATAACTAAAGAAAATAATATTTATGAACATGGGGGATAACTAAAAAAAAATCTATATGCAAACTTTAGGGATAACTAAAGAAGAAATTTGTATTCAAACATTTGGGATAACTCAAGAAAATTTTATTGTTAAATATTAGGAATACCTAAAAGACATCATTAATACGAATATTATGGGAGGGGTGGACCAGTAAGCCAGCGGAAGGCCTCGGTCAGATGACCAAAGCTCCAAAGGCGGGTCATCATCTAAGACCCGCGTCAGGAGATACTTGTCCTGTTTCCTGACGCACTTTACCTAACATATGACTTATTATATTAGCTTCGTAAGTTTATTCAGGTACTCATTAATACAGTTAAATAAATTATCATACACAGCAACATATATGTAAATTACCTTCGAAAATAACCCAAAAGGGTTAGTCAAAATGGCTTATTTCCATTGTGGTCCTTATGTAGGTAGGCAGGAAGTAACAAGTACACCTCTCACTGTGCTCACTGGTGGAGAGTTATGATTGGCTGCAGCAGTTGTTAACTACCTGCTGGTTGTTAGACAGTTTTGTGTCGTGCACAACCTGGTCAGCCACCTGGGACAGGAGCTGTAGTCCTTGTTTCTCTCTCTTACTGTTAGTAGTGATGGCGACACACTTCCTCTGCTGTCATCTCTTGTGATCCAGACTGTTTTAGGTACAGTTTGTCTTCGTTGTAGTGCCCAGACACTCGTAGTAACTTTGTGCACCTCTGTTGTAGAGCCCAGACACTCGTAGTAACTTTGTGCACCTCTGTTGTAGAGCCTAGACACTCGTAGTAACTTTGTGCACTTCTGTTGTGGAGCCCAGACACTCGTAGTAACTTTGTGCACCTCTGTTATGGAGCCCAGACACTCGTAGTAACTTTGTGCACCTCTGTTGTGGAGCCCAGACACTCGTAGTAACTGTGTGCACCTCTGTTGTAGAGCCTAGACACTCGTAGTAACTTTGTGCACCTCTGTTGTGGAGCCCAGACACTTGTAGTAACTTTGTGCACCTCTTTGTGGAGCCTAGACACTTGTAGTAACTTTGTGCACCTCTGTTGTGGAGCCCAGACACTTGTAGTAACTTTGTGCACGTCTTTGTGGAGCCTAGACACTTGTAGTAACTTTGTGCACCTCTATTGTGGAGCCCAGACATTTTAAACCATACCACGGGTGGGGTTAGAACCCGCGATCAGAAAGTCTCAAAACTCCAGACCCGTGGTATGGTTTGTTTGCAATCGTGTCATTACGATTTCGTGAATCATCCCAGACACGTGTAACTGTGCACCTCTGTTGTAGAGCCCAGACACTTGTAGTAACTATGCACCTCTGTTCACGGTCTTAGTGATATGTGGCATTTTGCAGAGGTTGTCTACTCAAGGGAGAGGTTCCTTGACGCTGGTGAGTGATGTGTGGGATATGTGGTGGGGAGGAGTCGGCGTGAAGGAATGAGGAGTGTCACGGGGTGGTTAAGTAGGGTGATACATAGGATCGGTGGTAAAGGAATTTATGTACTGAGAGCATTAAATCTGGACGTGGGAGGTTAGGATGACAGTGTCATAAGGGCTGTCAGATACATTATAGTAGAATATATATATATATATATATATATATATATATATATATATATATATATATATATATATATATATATATATATATATCGTGGGGATTGCTGGGAAAACAGGTTAGTGAGGTGAAGAGGAGGGTTTAAGCGGTATCGTTCCATAAAACAGTATGTAGAAATAGGGAAATCTATGGGAGGAGATGGGGAAGGGATTTTTCAAAGTGATACAGGGAACTTGCGTTTGGGGTTTTATTAGACTTGTACGAGGGAGGGGAGGGTACGAATGGAAAGTGATACTGTGGGTAGGGAAGTCTGGGGTGGAAACAGGGTCGGCTCCCTGGGGGTTTGGATGAAAGCAAAGTTTGCGTGTGTGTGCGTTATGTGTAAGTGAGGTAATGTATGGAACGTAGGTGCACGCACCTATGGAGATGTCCAGTTTCTTATGTGTCCCGGACTGTACACCATTCATACAGTCATGTATCTTCAAGGTAGGAGTGAATGATGGATAAGGTATAAGTGGGGGGGGGGATCTTTGCTTTTACTAACTACTGTGCAGAGTGAGACGTAGGTGCGGTATATTGTGATGGCAGCGACGGACAGTCGACTGTCCAGTGGTTGTACTGTCTCACACATGTAGATGAGAAGCATATTGTATGAAGAAAGATGACACCGCATACAAGTGGGACACGGAACTGTTACAACGAGAAGTACAAAGGTATTCCATTATGTATGAAAGTTGTTTTCGAGATTAGTGAAACTTCAAGCCGAGATGTTCAAGGTAACATTAATCCAGTGATTGTTTATCCACCTGGGTGAGGAGATACTGTGTATTATTAGGTCATGGTTTACCTTATGGTCATATTGTTACTTAATGTACTGTGTTTTGGTGAGATTGTTTCACCAATGTGTTTGTAATGTCTATTTTGGCTTGGTCATTTAAGGTTAAGGTAGGTTACATGCCGCCATGTTGGCTCGGCAAATAATTAGGGAAGGGAAGGGTGGGGGGACAATGAAGTATGCGCTGACTTAAGAAATCGTAATGACACTATTGTAAACAAACCATACCCCCGGCCGGGATTGAACCCGCGGTCATAGTCTCAAAACTCTAGCCCGTCGCGTTAGCCACTAGACCAGCTAGCCACAATAAGATTCATCCAACTAGGTATATTTCTACACCATAGGAAGGTTAGCACATTCACCTCTGTGACCACAAATGCAAGTTTTTACAGACGAATCTTACGGCCACGCTAGCTGGAGATTCGTCTGTAAAAACTTGCATTTGTGGTCACAGTGGTGCCTGTGCTAACCTTCCTATGGTGTAGAAATATACCTAGTTGGATGAATCTTATTGTGGCTAGCTGGTCCAGTGGCTAACGCGACGGTCTGGAGTTTTGAGACTCTCTGACCGCGGGTTCAATCCCGGCCGGGGGTATGGTAAGTATGCGCTGTATAGGTTACACATGATCATTGGCAGTTGTACACAGCTGTATACGGAACGGAAGCGTTATATTGTGTTTAGTTGTTTTCAGGTATTGTGTATTTAGTGACCATGTACCATCGATGGAGGAAATACTCTTTCCTCAGGGGACGTGTAGCGTCAGGGATCTACCAGTTGAGGAACTCTGGTTCATGACTTACGAAATCGTAATGACACGATTGCAAACAAACCATACCACGGGCGGGAATAGAACCCGCGACGGTCTGGAGTGTTGAGAGACTGATCGCGGGTTCTATTCCCATCCGAGGTGTGGTTTGGTTATAGTTCATGTGTGTGAGGGAGGTGGGGGGGGGGTGATGCATCAACCTTGTTACAGTACAGGAGTGTTACTTATATACACAGCAGTCTCAAGTCATATGTTGAGATTATTATTATTAAAGATTAGCCGGTATTCTCCCGGCCCGGCCTTGGCTCCCTCTTTAGGGAGTGTCTGAGACCTAAGTCTCCCATGGGAGGAGGTACAAGTACGTCCTCATCTTTGGGACCAACTGTCCCCAGGCCTAGCCACAAGCTAGGCCTCTCTGGTTTGCCATCCCCGCCCCAAGGGGGCTAATGTGAATGACAGTCTTGTGAGCTACAAGCTCTGGCTCGGGCACCTACCCTACCCTAGAAGGGCTGGGTATGGTGTCGATGATATGTTGAGAGGTTCTATTCTATTTAATTCGCCGGTATGGTATCCCGGCCCGGGTCTCTTCCATTTTGAAGATTGAGACACTTATGCAGCATATGGGAATCTTTATTCAGGAAAAGATTCCCATATGTTGCATAAGTGTCTCAATCTTCAACTTGTCGGTTTTTTCAAACCATTCATCACAACTGTCAGACATTGCAGCATCATGGGATCTTGTTACAAAGAATTCTTCAACACTTGTTCAACCTTTGGACGAAGACCTACTTCGACTAGTGGATGGTACCACTATGACCCCGCCTCCGCCTGCTTCACCTCACCTCACTACTTCGACTAGTGGATGGTACCACTATGACCCCGCCTCCGCCTGCTTCACCTCACCTCACTACTTCGGCTAGTGGATGGTACCACTATGACCCCGCCTCCGCCTGCTTCACCTCACCTCACTACAGTATATAAGCCACGTCTACGGCCCTATGCTGTACATTCTACAAGATTGATGGACTGAACACATCGACTCCAGGCTGAGGGACTAATTACCTCGTATTCCTCCTCTCCTTACGCCTTCCTCTTTGTATTGGACTGATGAAGCCAATGTGTGGCGAAACGTTTCCTGAATAAAGATTCCCATATGCTGCATAAGTGTCTCAATCTTCAACTTGTCGGTTTTTCAAACCATTCATCACTCTTCCATTTTGGTGACCCGGAATTGGCTCCCCGGGTAGGGAAGTGTCGTTATCTTGACTTGCACCTGCGTTGCAGGTCTTCAGCAGGAAGGGGGACGGGTACCTCACCGGCTCTATGGCCAGATGACGTACCAAATGTTAGTGTGCACTAACAGCGGCTGAAAAAAAAAAAAGCGGCTGGTGTGCAGTGCAATGGAGACCCAAAGGAGACCCTCGCAGCAACTTCAGCGAGGGGGGGGGGCGGATGACGTGCAATGACTGGAAGTAAGGTTTCCAAGTCCCTGACAGCTAAGTACACAAGATCTGCTGCCTCAACCTCTCGGGTTTGCCCCACTGGGGTCATTGGGAAGTGTCTACGGCGAATGCGGTGGCCCGGTGGCCTGGTGGCTAAAGCTCCCGCTTCACACACGGAGGGCCCGGGTTCGATTCCCGGCGGGTGGAAACATTTCGACACGTTTCCTTACACCTGTTGTCCTGTTCACCTAGCAGCAAATAGGTACCTGGGTGTTAGTCGACTGGTGTGGGTCGCATCCTGGGGGACAAGATTAAGGACCCCAATGGAAATAAGTTAGACAGTCCTCGATGACGCACTGACTTTCTTGGGTTATCCTGGGTGGCTAACCCTCCGGGGTTAAAAATCCGAACGAAATCTTATCTTATCTTACCTTAAGGGGCATCGTAGCCGGGCAGCTTAATGTTGAGAGGTGTGTGTAGGGGCTACTGACACATTATTATTATTATAATCAAGGGGGAAGCGCTAAACCCGGAGGATTATACAGCGCCTGGGGGGGGGATGTGGAAGGCATTCAGGCTTAATTCGGGGAACTGGAGCACAGATCCAATTCCCTAAATCAAGAGCCCCTCACCAACATCAAGGAACCTTCCTTGAGGGGGCTACTGACACAGTTGATGTATGGTTATCTGTGTGAGGGTAGTACGTATTTTAGATTTTTTTTTTTTACCTATAGCTGCTACATGGCTCGTTTATTATACTATACCTGGAGAGTTTACCTGGAGAGTTTACCTGGAGAGAGTTTACCTGGAGAGAGTTTACCTGGAGAGAGTTTACCTGGAGAGAGTTTACCTGGAGAGAGTTTACCTGGAGAGAGTTTACCTGGAGAGAGTTTACCTGGAGAGAGTTTACCTGGAGAGAGTTTACCTGGAGAGAGTTCCGGGGGTCAACGCCCCCGCGGCCCGGTCTGTGACCAGGCAATGTTTGTGCAATGTTTTCAATAAAATAAAAAAAAACGCTGGTGAGGGGCTCTTAATCCATGGAATTGGATCTGTGCTCCAGT